TAGGGTTTATTTCCTTATTATCCTTAGTTATTTTAATTATAATAAATTCTCTATTAAAATTATATATTATTAATTTTAATAACTTATCTTATATAATTAACTAGTATCTTAGGTCTTATTTCCTTATAAAGTTCTACTTAGACTATTTCCTTAAGTCTATTAAGAAAGAATAATATTAATAATTCCTAGTTTTATCCTAACTTAATAGCTAGTTAAAAGAACTTAGTTTTATACTTTAAGGCTAACTTAGTTTATTAAAGTATTTTAATTTTTTATTCTACTTAGCTTTTCTTATTAACTAATTAATAGGCTTATTATAAGGCTTTTTTAAATACTATATAACTTTTATAAATTTAAAAAGTTTATAATAATAGTTTATATTTTAATTTAATAATTATATCTTCTAATATAAGTTAAAACTACTAGGCTATATTATCTTTAAGTTATCCTAAGGCATATATAACTCTATTATTATCTTTATTAAACTAGTTTAAAAAGTAGCTTATAAAGGCTTAGTATTAAGTAAGGAATATAATTAGTTTTATTAGGTTTCTATTAAATAGTTTAGGTATATTAGGTTTAAGGATTTCTCCTGCCTTCTTTCTACTTATAGTAATAGTAATAAGATAATATATTTCCTAAATTATATTTTAGTAGTTAATAGCCTACTAGGCCTAGAGTATAGCAGCTTTAATAAGGGCCTATTTAAGGTTATTTATTTTAATTATTATATTAATTATCTACTAGTAAAGCTAGGTAATATTAAAGTTAATACTACTCTTAGAATTATTATTTATATCCTAATTATTATTAATAAGTACTAGGTTAATATTAGATATAATATACTGCTAGGTAGGATTAATATAGGCAGCTATTATATTTATATTACTTAGTATTATATAATATAATCTAAATAAGAGCTATTAATATATAATAATTAAATCTAATTATATTAAACTAAGCTATACTTAGGTTTATTATTAGCAGATTATATAAGGTATATAACTAAGCTTATTAAAGCATTATATCTCTTAATAATAGATTTAATATATATTAGGCTTAATTAATATAAAGAAGTTTTATTAATAGCTAGTAAGCTAAGATCTATAAAAATATAAATAAATATAATTTATATATTAAAGTAATCTTTTTAGTAATTATAATTAAAGCTATAATCCTAAAGAGGGATTATAATCTAAAGTATAATCCTTTATAAGTAATTATAATTAAAAGTATAATTATCTTAAACCTTCTAATAATAATCTAGAAAGAGTAAGGTATATATAACATAACCGCAGGGGTTATAATACTCTTATATTATGGTTTAAGACTATAATTAGCCTATTATAGGTTGCTAATCTCTTTTAATAAAAGCAATACCTTTATTACCTACTTCCTGATATTATAAAGCCACTTATTATATAAGTTATTATAAAGTTTCTCTAGGAACTTATTCTGCCTTCTTTATAAGTGCCTTTTATTTAATACCTATCTAAGAGTCTTAAGGCTTTATATCTTAGTATTAAAAAAGGCCTTATTAATCTAAGGGATATAAAGATATAATTATATAAGCCAGAGGACCTTATAGCTAAAAAGGGCTAGCCTAATATAGCTAATATTATCTTTAATTATTTAGGCTATTATAATTTTAATAGCTATTATATAAAGCTTATTATAATTACCTTACTTAATACTTAAGAAAGTTTTTTTAATTATTTAAATTATATTATAATCTTCTATTAGGTAGGGCTTATTAGGCCTAGGTGGCTATAGTCTTTTTTAAAGTATTATAATAAGGCAGCTATAATACTATTAGCAGTTATAATTAGAAGGTATAAGAAGTTAGATTAGATTACTTATTAAGGTATAATAGATAATTTAAGTGTAGTATTTATAAGGGTTAGTAAAAGACCTTTAAAGTGGGTTAAAGGAAGAAGATTAAGGCTAGCTAAAGAGTAAGTAAGGCTTGGCTCTCTAGCTAGGTAATATATAGCTAGGCTTAGGCTATAATTAAGGCAGCTAACTATAATAATATTAACCTAATAAAGCTTTACCTGCTAAGGGGTAATAAATATTTAAAATTATATTAGACTTTAGAGATACTTAGATATACCTTTTAAGGCTAACTTATAAACTTAAAAGTAGCCTATATTATATTCTTATTTATTTTAGGCTTTACTTTATAAAGACTTTTCTTAGAGAAAAAGAAATATAAGTAATATAATCTAATGCTTTTAGCTACTAAGCCTAACTTATATAATAATATCTTAACTCTTCCTAAGATTATTTTTAACTTAAGCTTACTACTTAGTTTATATATCCTTCTTCTAGGTCTTTTATTTTATTATAAGGCTTTTAATACTTTAACTCTTACTTCTCCTAAGTATTTAAGTAAGCTTAAGATCTAGCTTAATAAGTATAAGTTACCCTTACTACTTAAGGAAAGTATAAATAATATATTTATCTTTTATAGGGCTATTAAAATAGGTATAAATATATATATATTATTTATAAATAAATAAATTATATATAATATAATTTCTAATTAAATAAAAAAGCTTAGTAAATTAGCTAGGTTTAATATTATTATAATCTTATATATATTTTTATATAATATAAGTAATAAATTTAACTAATATTATATATATATATATATATTATATATAAAGATAAATTAACTAATAAGTAATATAATATAATAAATATTAGTAATAGGCTTTATAACCTTATACTTTAATATATTAACTCTAGGACTTTAAGAAGTATTACCTCGGTTATATTATCCCTATAAATACTATAGCTATTATAAGCCATAAAGAGCAGTAAAAAGTACTAATATATTAAGCCTATAGTATTAGGTACTTAGCCAGTAAGTAATAGCCTATTTATCTTATTACTAAGTAGTCTATAACTATTAATAATAATCCTATAATCTAAGATCTCTTTTATTAATAAGAATACCTTTTTTCTAAAGGTAATAAGTCTAATAAGGTTTATATATATTTAAAGAAGATTTCTAAGGATATTTAAAGTAAGAAGGCGCGCCTATGTAAAAAACATAAAAACTAAGTTAGAAAAATATAATCCTAGGAATAGGCTATAACTAATATTAAATAATAACTAGCTAGTAAGATATTTAAAGAGCTATTAATCTTACTATTAGATAAAAATAATTATCTTACCTAAAAATGCCTATATAAAGCCTTAATAGCCCTAGTAACTAATATAATAGAATTTAAATATTATTACTATAATAATATAATTCTTAGTATTATATCTTATTATTCTATCTAAGAATTACCCCTGCCTCCTATAATTAGATCTAAAGTAATTACTATAAAGAAAGATGTATCTAATCTATATAATAAAACCACTAAGGATATTATAAGTATTACTTTAGGTAATATAATAACTTTAGTCTTTACTAAAAGCTAGATAAAGTAAAGTCGGAGGTGCTTTCTCTGTATTAGTTAGGCCACCACTTTAGGACCTTCTGATCTAGCTGTCTATAGGTTAATTAAACCTTTCTACTTATCGGGGGACTTAAGTAGGCACTTTAAACGATACCATCTCTCTAATCTTTAACCAAACGAAAAGCTCTATTGCCGCCTATGTCATAAGACGTTGGACCATAAGATGCACTTGCAAAACCATGCTGAAACAGTCCATAGAACTATATCAAGAGGAGGATAAGCCAGCGCGAGTATATCACAGAGAGGGTTATGAGTTAAATTAGTAGGGAAATTAGAGGGCATCGTCGAAGAGGCATTTAGTAGAATAGGTTTGGCTTTCAGGAAAGACAGAAACTCTTTTATTATTATATAACATATATAATAAGCGTATGCCATAAATAAGAATGCGGCGCATTTTTCTGATTAATTAAACGCAGGGGCTTTCTATTATATGAGTTTCAACGAACAGCATCTATAAGCGTGGAGCCAAGCTATACAATTCTATCCACTGTTGATTCGTTCCAGCCTTTTCTTACTGTATCGTTGTGTAGCAACCCAATTACCAATGAACAAGTAGTAAAACATAACTATAACTAGATACGCGGCGGCCAGCAGTCCCACGATGGAAAAAACAGTAAAACCATACAACGCCGATTAGAAGGCTGCGTTATATTGGAGGGCCTCAGTAACCATTGTACTTCTTCGGGAATTAGGTGCGCTTCCTTGGTAAAGTGGAAATCGCTCTCATGTGCTATGAGCGCCGCGTACGAGAAGAGGAAACCGAGGGCGCGTTCCCGTCGGCCACGGCAGCTGCACGGACGAGGATGCACGGAGATCATAGAGGGGACTAACTATTGGAGAGGGAAAAGAGTTGACCTGCGGCGGTATTCGAGGATTAAATAACGCCCGTCATGGGACAAGAGTGTGGCTGCCACCTTACTTACTCCACGACTCTCACTTTGACTTGGGACTCAGCGCTGGGTGGTCTGGGGCCCTATCTTAATTAGCACGTAAGCCACTTGCGTTGGTGTGTAACATATTCTGTATCTGGCTTACGCGCTAACAATGCCGGAGGGGGGCGCGGCGGTTTAACGTGGCTATCTTGTCGTTCCGAGACAGCACCATTGGGGGAATAAACATCACGCAGTATGAAAGGTGGAGCTTAGCAGGGGCTACAAAACTCTTTCTAAATGGGATACCTAGAGTTATCAAAATCTGGAGAAGTAGACGGCCTTTGCAGGTGGTCGGACCCCGCAGGTTCCGAAGGGACGGAATGGGCCCATCCAGGTCCAAAGCTCTTTGGGCTATCCGCTCCCCGTTAGCAGACAATCAAGTGCCATACCTAAGATTAGGCGGAATGACAAATACAATTTAATTAGCAATCATCGAATGAGCATGGTAATTTCCAGAATCGTAAGTGACATATTGCGGATCTATTTGGCTGTGGTTTTCTCACAACACCAATCTCCACAGCCAAGCCAAGTCGAGCACACATCACTTTAATCAAAGTCAAACAACAACATCCCAAGTGTTTTCACATTCATTAAAATGACAATGAGCCAAGCGCCTGGAACTGCCATCTGGCTTGGCGACGATGGCAATCTCTCACAACGACGGCTTTCAGAGACTTACACCCCAACTGGATCTGACACACTTGTGGGCGTCAAGTATTCCGGTATCAACCCGGCGGACAAGAAGCATTTCCTGATGGGCCTTCATTCGTTCATCGCCGGCTACGAATTTTCCGGCATCGCTATCGCAGTTGGTCCAGACTCTCCTTTCCAGCTTGGCGACGCTATTTTTGGCATAAATCGGCCGCAACACCAAAGACCTGCATCTCTCGGAGCATATCAAGACTACGCCATTACAGAAGCCCAGGCATTTTTCAAAATACCAGAGGATATGGGGCTCAAGAAAGCCGCAGTAATGGTCCTAGTTGCACAAACCGTCCTTAACGGTATCCTCAATTGTCTCAAATTCGGCCTTCCGTGTGCTAGGGTCGATAGCTCTGATCCAACGGGCCAACCAATTCTGATCTAGGGCGGTGCCAGTGGTGTTGGAGTTGCAGCCATCCAGATAGCTAAGGCTGCTGGCTTTGGGCCAATTTTGGCTACAGCATCGCCACAGAATCATCAGGCCCTATGCGACATCGGCGCGACCCAGTATTTCGACTACAAGAGTCCGACAATCATCACAGACATCCGCTCTGCTGTTGAAGAAACTGGCATGAAGCTGAGGGTTATATTTAATGCGGTAGTAGGCAGCGCGGATTCTTTGGATCCAAACGAGCAGCCTCCATTCAAAGAGAGTACACCAGCCTTAGCAAAGAGCTATTGCTCTGACGAAGACCAGCCAGATAATCTCAAACTGACAGCCGTGTTACCTATCGTCAAAGATCCATCTTACAAACATGCCATGTGCTGGAGGCCGTATGATGCCTTGGATTTCATCGGTTGCCCGCAGGACCCACAGGCTCCCTTCCGAGTCAGGAAGGCAATGGAATGGCTCATGCAAGACCATGGAGCACATTAGAGTTTTCCAAATCTGACTATGGTTCAGGGGGGGACAGCAGGCATCGAGGCAATGGAAAGATCCGCGGCAGGCAATGTCAGGTTTGAGAAGATTATCTTGGCGCATCCAGTTTAGAAAAACGCTATTTCTACATAGAAACATGGAAATATATTTACGTTGGCATGGGGACCTTTCACGTAGGACGGTTGAACATTGTCGACAGTGCAAGGGTACTCCTCCAAACCCCGTTGGTTGGAGGTGTTCTGGTGGGCACCGAGGACCAGCAAGCCCGACGTCTGTTGTCATTGTGGGATCGGTCGGATGGCCCTTGCCGCCAACAGCGAGTATCATGGCAGCTCGTCCTTGAAGGGAGACGCAAGTGGCTGCTCTGTATAGGAAGGCTGTCGACCCGGGGCTCGCTTAGAGAGGATTTAACATGCCGGTAAGAAAAGGGCCATCTCTGATCCATGGCACGACGTAACGAGTGAAACAATTTAACGAAGGCCGCCTATTTAAACCATGGAGCTGGCTCGTTGCCCCTGTCTCATCGTGCTCACGGCGCGTCGGAATTGAGATGTGTGAACCTCAGCCAGTTCTTTCTGATGGGCTCCGTGGCAATTCCTTCTCGGAACTGATCGAGATTACCTGTGAGGGCATTCATGAGATCCGCTGCCGACTCAATCGCGCCGTTTCCTCCTTGTGCAGTTATCTGATGAGCCTAGCCAGAGTCACTATTGTCCCAGCCATTAAACGTGATCTGAATACTTGACTAAGCGAAGCCCGGACCTCAACGAAGGGAGGCATAATGTGGCTCTGGTCATTCTCCTCTAATTCGAGTGTGAGGACGTTCAGGAGAGATCGGCTTTCTGTACTTCTAGCGATCAATGAGGGAATGGAAAAAAATTCAGGACGGAAAGGTGTCGCTCTCAATATGCGCCTATCTGCTATTCCTTACAGCCCTGTCCATTTCAATGACTCCGCCCATAGCTTGCCAGCCTTTTCCACATCGTAGGCATTAGAACCATAACCGGGCGCATATAGACCTGACGAAGCATCCCATTCCTTCGCAATTTGGCAGTTTTCGAGATAACTACCGCCCTTTCCTTCCAAAGCTTTCGCGGTAGCCCCCCACACGGTGGTGGCAGCCCCTTGGTCGGGGTTCTTGAAGATGGAGGCAATATACGGGTCTCCATCAAGCGCCCCCTTCTCCGCATCAGACATATGCTGCATCAGATTAGTGAGGACAGCACCTGGCTGAACGCTCCATGCGTGGACACCTTGCGGACCGTATCGTCGCTCGATCTCGTTGGCGGTCCAAAGATTGGCAGTTTTGCTGGCTCCGTATGCAGCCATTGCGTCATATCCGCGATCGAAGTTGACGTCCTCGAAGTTGACCTCAGCAAACCGATGAGCGACTGAGGAAAGGATCACAACTCGGGAGGCGAATGAAGGGGTGGTCCCAGCCAGTAGAGCAGGCCGAAGGAGGTTGAACAAAAGGAAATGGGCGAGGTGGTTGGTTCCAAACTGGATCTCAAATCCGTCCTTGGTTCGACCCTCGGGCGGGGTCATCACGCCGGCATTGCAGATCAAAATGTTGAGGGTCTGGCTCTTGGAAAGGAACTCGGCCGCGCAAGATCGCACGCTTCCAAGGGACTCGAGATCGAGCTCAAGGAGATGAACCCGGTCACTGTCGATCAGGTCCCCCAGAGCAGTCCTCACCTTGGCAAGGTTCCGAGCGGTCAGATACAAAGTCATCCCTGCCAGGTGGAGGGCTTTTGCGGTTTCGATACCAATCCCAGAGGAGCAGCCAGTGATGAAGGCGACTTTCCCGGATAGCTTCCCAACCAAATCCTCATCTTGGATGATCTGGGTCCCAGTCGGGCGACTGTCCCCTGGGCCGTTGGGGCGTTCATGAACTTGGGCGTAACGATCGGCCATGGTAGTGGATGTGAGATTGATGAAAAGAAGTATGTCAAGGGGGGCACGCGGGCGGATTGACAATGAGTAAGTGAGAGAGATGTGGCTCTATGAGAATGGCCTCAGCGCCGTATATATATGACTCTTGCTCTAGAAAATTGCTGGCCAGGTAGTTACATCACCGTCACGTTGTCCAACTGTGCCTCTCTTCTCTCGGGCTCCGAAGAAAGCCACTGACGCAACTCGGATTGATTGGGAGCTAATTAACTCTAAGCGCTTTCTCTAGGCCACTAGCGCCTCAGCCAGCTGCAGCATCTTGAGAGCCAAGCACATGGGTTCTTCTAGCGGTCCTTTGCTCTTGGGCCGAACACGAGGAGGGCTCTTGCAAGTGCCGAATGGACAAAGTAGAGCAAACCTTTTCGGTTGCCGGGATAGCTGGAGGTGGACACCGGCCTGGCGGGGACCCTTGAGAACTCCACAGGATAAGCCGCTTGCATTAGCTTCAAGTCCGCATTTTTCGGCCAATCGGGGCGGCCAGGCCACGACCGCTAATGGTCGTATTAGTACTGCATTAAATTGACGAGGCGATTTGATAGCGAGTGTATTAAGCTGCTTCGGCAACACCGGTAGCATCGATATTTGCAAATACTAGCGACGAGCAGCCCAGAGAAAAGGGCCGACTTTAGCAGAATGCGGGGATTATCAGATAGCCTTTCCTAATTCTCGACGACCATATCATACAGGTACAACAAAGGAACACGTCAGAAGTGGCGCATGAAAGGCCACCAGTTTCTGCCCCGGACCATATAGTCTCCTTTTTAACGTATAAAGTAAATCCAAGAGTTTTTTGAGTTTTCTATCTGAGTTATTAGCTCTTACCTCCGTGGGCCGAGCCGCTGGCCCACCTTGTAAGAACTGGCTTGGAGCAAAGCCCAGCCATGTTGCTGAAAGGCGACTTCTGTCCCTGCGGAAGTGCTGGAGAAGTCATTGATATAAAGTTGGTCAGGGCACAAACTTCGCCAGCATGGGCTCAAACACCTTTGAGACATCAATGAAATATAAGCCTGTCATCAGCAAGATGCCCGTCAAGTACGCCGTATGTACCATCCCCTGGAGCCTCGATTGAGCGACCAAGAACGGGAGGCTCGGATGGCATGGCCGTTATGGAAGAAGGTCTATTGGTATTTTTGCTGAAAGGGACCCTGGCTCCTTTACTCTTATCTTAATGAATCGAGATCTTCCTTGCGCTTCTATTTCTATCCAGAGCAACCATCTTGGCAACTTGTGACTGGTTCAAGATCCGTGGCGAGCGGCTTTCCTAAGAGCTCATTGACAAGCATAGATCCTGGATAGATTCCTCATTGAAAGTGCCGGGGAGCCTAAGCTAGTAAATATCTGCTAGTTCGAATGCAAGACGTCAGTTCAAGGTATGGTGTGTCCTGAACCCACCATTATTCCTCAAAGATTTCCTCCTCTTCATCATACTCTTCATCCCCCACCTCGGCCTCCTGATACTGCTGATATTCTGAAATCAGGTCATTCATATTGGATTCAGCCTCAGTGAATTCCATCTCGTCCATCCCCTCCCCTGTATACCAATGAAGGAACGCCTTTCTCCTAAACATGAGTGCAAACTGGCTCCCGATGCGCTTGAAAAGCTCTTGTATAGCCGTCGAGTTGCCGACAAACGTCGAAGAGAGGTTCAGCCCGGACGGCGGAACAGAGCAAAGGGCCGTTTGGATGTTATTCGGGATCCACTCAACGAAATACGACGAATTTCTGTTTTGGATCTGTCCGATTTGATCTTCGACTTCCTTCATACCGACCTTACCACGGCTTATGACTATGTCAGCATAAACAAGGGTTCTTCGAGGTGTGTTTACTTACAAAATAGCCGAGCAAGTTAGGAAGCGGCCGTTCCGATAGTCCGATGCAGACATGGCGTTTTTTGGGTCAAAGAGTTGTTGCGTGAGCTCTGGGATGGTGATGGCTCTGAATGACCGGCTACTAAGACTCGTGAGGGGAGCAAATCCCACTGTGAAGAAGTGGAGGCGAGGAAAAGGGACCATATTCACGGCCAGCTTCCGCAAATCCGAGTTCAACTGGCCTGGGAACCGAAGGCAGGTCGTGAGGCCCGACATGACCGCTGAGATCAAGTGGTTTAGATCCCCATAGCTCGGATCACTGAGCTTAAGTGTCCTCTTGCAGATGTCGTAAAGAGCCTCGTTATCAATGCAGAATGTCTCATCTGAGTTCTCAACGAGCTGATGGAGAGACAAGGTAGCGTTATACGGTTCCACAACCACCTCGGAGACCCGCGGCGAGGGCAAGATAGAAAATGTTGCCATCATCCTATCTGGAAATTCCTCGCGCACTTTAGATATCAAAAGAGTGCCCATCCCGGCTCCCGTCCCGCCGCCGAGGGAGTGCGTGATCTGAAATCCCTGCAGACAGTCGCAGTCTTCAGTCTCACGGCGTACGACCTCGAGGACTTGGTCAATGAGTTCGGCTCCTTCGGTATAGTGGCCCTTTGCCCAATTGTTTCCGGCCCCGGACTGGCCAAAGATGAAGTTATCAGGACGGAATAGCTTGCCGTTGGGCCCGGCACGGATTGCGTCCATAGTACCCGGTTCCAGGTCGACGAGGACTGCACGGGGGACGTATTTACGACCGGCTGCCTGGGGGAGGGATGTTAGGGGAGAATCATCTGGGAAAAGATCACTTACTTCGCTAAAGTAGACTGGCAAACGGTCGGACTGTACGTCGGTTGTACCACGAAACCTTCCAGAGTCAACAACATAGTAGAGCCGTCTTTCGGGGTACACTTACACACCGTCGCTGTCAAGACCGTGCTCGTTATGAAGGGTTTGCCTGTATCGAGTCAGCTTGGCCATACAGCTTGAATAAGCCAGACAAATAATACCAAAAGGCAGATCCGACTTGGCTGCCCTGTAAAAGTTAGCAAATTGTAGCGTAGTTGCTGTGTTTATGGAACCTACGCATTGGCCTGTCTGTAGATGAATCTTGGATTGTTAGTAGAATGATCATGGCAGCTAGAACCTAAGCCCTAGAAGATTGAGAAACTCACGATCTCACGCATCGTCGCCGCTCACAAGCTATGAAGCACTGGTAAAGAGCGCAAGATACCTGAGAGTTGGCCAGACTGTAGCTTTTATTGTAGACAAGTCTTGATCACCTCCGGATATGGCGGATTAACTATCGGCCCACTTTTCAAATCTCCGCCGACGGCGGCGGAAGACTCAACATGACCATCACCAACTCTTCTCCCCCCTTTCCCTCAGGCACAACCTCATCCGCCGCGATCGGAAACCATCGGAGACAGACTTGACCTTCCCAGTCACTGCCGTCATGTCTGCCACTGCGGGCAAGAGCCACACCCCCCCTTCGACCTATGCGCCACCACCCAAGCGTCGGAACATCCGAAAAGGCACCCGCAGCTGCTGGGAGTGCAAGCGGCGCAAAGCCCGCTGCACGTTTGAGAATGCATCTGACATAGTATGCATTAGCTGCAGCCGCCGGGGCTCGACTTGCGTGAGCCAGGAGTATCCCGAGGAGACATCGCAGGCCCGTCAGTCCAGCGAACGGAGGCGGGAACACTTTGCAAAGATAGGAAAGATGGTGGTACAGATAGTGAGAGAAGAGGCCATGGCTGAGCCCAGTCCTGATGTGGTCGATGATTGGAAGCCAGAGAGTGAATCCGAGCCCGGGGCTGAAAGGCTTGATGGAGAACTTGAGACCCCCGACAGAGTTCGGCATGCCGCCGCACATATTACGGCTCAGGTACGCCAATATCCGATATCTCATCAAAGGGAACTGATTTACAGCGAATAAATCCTTACAGAAAAGTATCAGTACGCTGCCACCGCATTCAGGTCTTGATGTTCCGGCTACCAAACCCATCAATGACTCTGGGCAACCAGCCAAAGTGACCTCCCCCGGGGCCCTCCCAACACCCAGAGACGTTGCTGGCGTCAGCCAGTCAATGGGACGTACATCCGGATACTTTATGAATATCATGATCTTGCCTTACAGCCAGCTCCAGCTCTACAACTTCCGCATGGAAGTCCCGGATCTTCATTGCCCAGAAGTGCACCCAATTCTCAAGGCCAAAAGGATGTTGATGTTGGCAACCAATATTCAGAGTCTTCAACCAAAGTCTCAAAGACTATCGTGTCAACTGTCAGCACCGCCAGCGACACTTGTCCAGCAACTCATGAAAGCAGCTGCATATGTTGGGACCAGGACATGCCCTGCTGTCTTTGTCGAAGAGCTGGAATGCCTCATGCTTGAAGCTGTTCTGCTCGCCAACGGTGGTCATCTGCAGCACTCCTGGCTTGTCTTTCGCCGACTGGTAGCTGACGCACAGCTGATGGGTCTTCATCGACGTCAACATTCGGTAAAAGCCCTCGATCCCCACAACAATCTTGACACCAGGTTCTTTTGGTTTCGAATCCTGTACACGGAAAGACTCCTCTGTTTGCTGCTTGGCCTTCCGCAGGCTAGCACAGACTGCACAATGGGCGACGAGGCAGCATTGCTGGTGGAAGAACATCCTGTTGGCCGCCTAGAGCGCATGCACTGCGTCATTGCCTCAAAGCTGCTCCAACGGAACGACATGGAGACAAATTATGATCAAGAGACGAGAAACATTGACCAAAAAATACAACGAGCAGCGCAGTCGATGCCACCGCGATGGTGGTTGATGCCGAACTTGGCTGGAATCTCGGACGATGCTCAGGGCTTTGCAGAGACGATAAGGCTGACAAACCAGCTATTTCATCACTTCCTAATTATCCAGCTTCACCTACCCTACATGCTTCGTCCGACTGCCAGCTCCAAGCAGAGGGATAGCATGACGACCTGCGTGAACTCCAGTCGCGAGGTGATGGTGCGGTTCATTAGCTTTCGCAGCATCCAAAGCGTCGCCTTTTACTGCCGAGCCATTGACTTTTTTGCTCTCATAGCATCGATGACCCTTCTGCTGGCGCATATCGACAGTCACCAGAACAATAAAGGGGAGAGCCTGGCTTATCAGCGGCCTAGTGACCGCGCTCTCATCGAGCAGGCGATGGAGTATATGGATGACTTTAATAAATGCTCTCAGGATATTCTCTCCAAGAGAAGCGCTGACGTGATCCGGAATTTATTGGAGGTTGAAAACCAAGCATTCAGCAAGCATGGGCCTACAGGGGAGACCCAGAAACACACCCATAAGAGACACTCCATGGACGGGCATAGGTTGCAACTCAACATTCCAAACATCGGGACGGTGCACATCTCGTGTGACATTATTGCAAGACACGATGGATCACCGGAAGGATCTAGTGGCGACACATTGAGAACATCATCGAAGGAGGACCGCACCAACCTGGTTATGCTGAGCGAATTCATTGCCCCCGAAGAACCAATGGCCCAGATCGCCGAACCACACGAAGTAAAGAATCAACATGAAGCTGCAGACCCGAGCAACAGCTTTGCAGAACCATTCCACCCGATTTGCGAGGAAAGTATGGAAGTGTGGCTACATGGACCAGATAATCTCTTTCAAGGTATTGATCTGGCTCATTTTGACCTAGCTTAATACTTAGCTATTGATATTACAACACGAATAACTCTAAAAAGAAAACATAACTTTTACGATTAACCAGCCCCTAAAGATCGTACCGTGCACGTACACTGGCCTGAAGAAACGCGCAATGCAGGCGGTCCGAGCAGTCTGCTTGCGCGGCTTTTAACCCTCTCTGTGCCAATAGCGTGTGAAGAACAGATAAGCTTCCGAGAATTCCGGACTGGTTATTGTTAGAATTCTCTCTCTGAGCTGCTGGATTACCAAAAGGGAAGTGCCTTCGCTCGGTCTCACGGGGTCTCGGTCTCGGTCTAGCGGCCCTCCCACCCAAAACACTTGAACGAGATGATGCTCACGAGGAGGGAAGTCAACAAAAGTCTCGTTTTTGACTTATTGAGTCAAGAGGGACTAACAGCGCATCAACTGCACTGAGATGTGCGTGTATGGGAATCCTTCCATACCAATCAACCCTCCTCTACCGCCCTTCAACACATGCGTCCCGTTCACACACACACAAACCTCCATTGATCTTTACCATGTCTGGATCCTCACATGCATATGATAATCCGTATGAGGAGCATTACAACGATCATTACGCCCGACGAGACGGTGCTGACCGTTTCGACCAAGACACCTCCTATGTACAAGAGGGATATTATCCTCACGATTCCACACCTAGTCAGGATTTCCAGTAAGTGCAACGTGGCGTTGAGAATGGCGGTAGAGCTAATGTGAGAATGTAGTGATGGTTTTGAAGCTCTCGGCAATCGTGCGTACCATGAGACGTCTGCTCGTTATGGCGACTATGATTCGGGCTCTTACTACCATACGCCACCACCCTTTCGACAAGCAAAAAAAAAATTCCCCCACCAAAACTCAACACTTTCATTTACACGCAGCTTAACCAGAATAAAAGTTATTTGCAAATGGTTGCTTAGTATAAGCTTACAATTGATGTATCTGTTGTTTTTTAGGCCTTTTTACCAGCCTCCCTGACCGGGTGGTGCGCTGAGGTGGTACGATTTCTTCTCCGACTTCAATTACCGAAGCCAGCCTCCGATTCTGACCCTGACTCCCCCGAAGAGCTATAATTCGGGAAAAGAAGCTGAAGAGGATGAATTTGAGAGGACCTTGCTCACAAGAGACTTCAAACTGATTGAACGTACTGAGCCCGGCTCTTTGCCCAAGACTGCTTCTAGACAGGAGTTGAAGAGCCCGGCGAGGCCGGCAATCCCAATAGCGAGTCCGGCAGGCTCCATAGCGATGTATCGTTGGTGTATTAAACTTGAGCTGATTAGGATAGTCCCGTGCTATATTTTACTCAATTACACATGCACGAGGCAGGTTGTTAGGCGTCCAGAGCCTGATAGTATGGCTGTACAGGCTGGTGCTTGGCGTCTTTCCAGGCTGTAAGGCTCTCGTATTACGGCTAAGAAACTCTGTTGGCTGCAGCCTTCCCACCATCATTCAGATCAACTCGCTCGCATCAAGGCACACTCATGTGAAATATCAGTTCATCACATCCAGTGTAGTTATATCGGAGCTAACTAGCCCTTGCACACCACCAATAGACAAGAATGCGGCGCACTTTTCTCAGTATCTGATTAATTAAACTGACTTCAATTGCTATATTTGTCCAGCCGGCCCGTGGCAGTGGCAGAAGGTGTTGGAAAGACACGAGGCCCTTATTTGTATGAAAATTCCTAGGTGGTGCCAATGCGGCACGCCCTGAGCTAACGCCTCATTTTCACCCGCCCCCTCCAACTTTATCAGACAGCATATCCATTCTCCGTGGGATCGGTATTGCGTATTGCGCCCATTGAAGCATAAGAACGTGAGCCTTCTCACAAAATCGGATACCTCTAGCATAGCACTCCATGCACAAGCAGAACCCCCTATCACAAATGCTGCAAGAGTAGCGGCAACCTCCGTGGATGCTCAGCGTACAGGCGTCGCACCAAGGGGCCTCGTGATCAAACGGAGTAGAGACACGGTGTCGGCCATAGCTGACATGGTGGGCGCTCCGCTTGTGATAATCTCGTCTTGTCGTCATTGGCGTGAGAGGCTAATGAATGTTTTCAACATTTAAATTGACGGTTACTTAAGCAGTTCCCAGGAGGTTCTAACTGCCAAAGATAACTGGGTTTAATAAACAGGGTCAGGAGCGGGTGGTGGGTAGAGTGGAGAGTAGCCGCACGACCGCCTCATGCCCATTCCCGGCGGCCAATGACAGCGGCGTCCGGCCATGCAAATCTTTAGCGTCAATATTAATACCAACTTGGTCTGCCCTTTCCAAAATAGCCTGCAACGCTCCTGCCACTCCATACCTCGACATAACGTGTACTAGACTAGTCCTTTCTGGCAGACAGTTATTAGAATATTTCTCTAGCCTTCTATAAATACGCACCCATCGTTCCATAAGCGTGTTTAATGGCCCTGCGAAATATTCCAGGAGATCATCTTGAGGGACACTTCTAGCATCACTTTGCTTCGTGTGCGCTACCCACGAGGTCGTGGCGTAATGCAGGAAAGGAAACTCGGATGTCATGTCGCGCTCTTGAATTGCTGACCGACCGATCTCCTCCATCGCCAAGTAGCGTATGCAGGTCCTAGAAAGCCGATGGTGTGTAATTCCGACTACAAAGTCGGGTTTGGCGGACTCCCTCAGAGCCGATAGGCCCTTCTCGACGAAAAGGTCCTTGACGGACTGGTGGATGAACTGGACAGCCTTCGTATCCGACGTGACCTCAGCAAGACCGCAGCTGAGCGTCTGGACTCGTCTCTTCATTCTTTCCCTGTCTGATATATAATCTTTCGACCTCTTGCATTCTTGTAATGACTTGTGTAGGCAATCGGTATCGATAAGTATAGCCCATTGCAATTCATCTAGGGATAAGGGTTGCACGGCAAAGCAGATCCATTGGATAAGTTTCAGAGAGTCCCAGCCCATACCTCGGATGAGTTCACGATATAAGTCATCCAGCTCTTGAGGGATCGAATAGATTTCGGTTTCAATATTCTTTAATTCGATGCCCTCTCGCTCAAGGTCTAGGACTTGCTTCGCCATAAGCCACGCCCACAAAAACACGCCTTCTGCGCGCCTACGCAATGGGGGGATACGAGAAAGTGAAACGGATTAAGGTCAACGCCGTTTTGGCTTGGGGGGTTACAGCCAGTATCACTTGCCTTGCTGTTGTACGACACACTGCACGCTGTAGCTCTCGCCTCTCTATTGGTCAAACTCTCTGTGCTAGGACAAACGGGTAATCACATCATTCGCTGAGGCTCGGAGCTGAATTCAGCCAAGTCTGTTGGTGGTCAGCCTGTAAGGCCGAGCGGGTGTACTCGCCAAGTTATCGGCTGGCCGTCTGCAGCTTGCCGGAGGTGCGTACAAAGTATCCGAGTCTGTGACTGCCAAGTCTGAATCGCCAGAAGGCGGCGTCGAGGATCCTAGAACCCAAGACTTGCAGAGGAGGATGGACGCACTTGGATCAAACGAGGGGTCGGGCGATACTTTCACCCATTATGGCTCTGGCGACATGCTCAACGCTCCTGGCGGTACCATGAACAACAGCACGGGCAGTGGCAACCACTTCCCTGGGGCTAATTTCTTCGGATCTGTGAGTTTTTGACAACAATCCGACCTGAGGAGGACTACGTTGGAACGCCCCATACTACCGTAAGGTGGAAGACTAGTTCATCATGTTATCCGTTGCTAGCTGGGCTTTGATGTCTAGGTAGTGCGAGCAGGCGTTATTGTGCGTTTGGCAACATAGCTTGGACAGTCCCCGATGGAGTTAGGTTTGAGTAAATGAATCAAACGAGGAATCGCAAGGCAATTTGACATATTACGCATATACCTAGGATTGGGTTTGCGGCCTCCTTGATCGGCCTCTGCCCAGATATCTTCAGACACCTGCTCTCGAGAATCCCGCTCGCGAATCCCTTAGCCAAATTGCATAGTCCCAGAAAAAGTAGCCCCAGGGAATTGGTTACCACTGCCTTTGCTGATGTTCTGAGTACCGCCAGGAGTGCTAAATTGGTCGCCAGAGCCATAGCTATTGAAGTATGAGTTAGGTGGCTTCTCGATCTGTGCTTCTTCTAGCGGTGGTCTTCGTTGCGTGGCAGCTGAGTTCCTGATTTGCGATTCCCATCTAATTAGCTCGCCAAGTAGTCTTTTAAAGCTATTATCGTCTACGGAGCTAAACTTGGCCATGTTGCTATGGTTGGCGTGGATGCTGATCGCTTAGAAGACAAGCCTGCGCGATGACTCCTGCCCCGCGACAGGGTCATCAATTCCTTGCATCTGTCTTGTATCGTCTGCGTACCCCTTGCGTAGGCGGGGAGATAAATGGGAGTGACTTCGCCTAGGTTTCCCAGAAGCCTGGCCATCTCCGTGCTAGTCGCGAAGTCCAAGTAAACCTTATTAATCACCGCACAGATCGAGGTTGACGCATTTTTGGCAGGAATAATAGAGAGATTTGCTTAAGATACTTCGTGTGCAAGTATTACACCAGCCTGATGTAGCATTAAAAGCTATATCTGCTAATATAGGCTTATTCTATGGAGCACTTTCGCTTAATTCCATATAACACAATAATAGCTTAATTATCTCAGGTTTACCTGCATAAGATGCCTACTACACTAGACTGCAACCAACGTAGAACTATACCTAATTACTAATAACAGTGCTAATCAGAAGTTCTATAAGTTTATAGTGGCCATTAGCTACTGCAGCCAATAATGCTATAAAGCCGTAGTAGTTCTTGATATTAGGGTCAAAAGGTCCAGTGGAAAGCAGGTACTGCATGGCCAGGAGTTGTCTGTTTCGAGAGGCCAGAAATAGGGCTGTACAAACAAGTCTATCCATTTCAGCGGGCGGTGTCAAGAGGCGAAGACTCAATGACCTTCACTCGAGGCTGTATTCAGTGGCGTCCAGCCATCGTTGTTTGTCGTAGTAAGGTCGGCTCCCTTTGAAAGAAGTAGAGCAATAAGATCGTTGGACCTATTAGCATAAGCGATGCTAAGCGGTCTTCTTCCTAAGCTACTGGTTTCGTTTATGCTCTATTTATTAATAAGGTTTATTGCCACCCCCCTTAACTTTATCCTTATAGCATAATATAGTGGGCTTGGTGGTATCGTCTTAGTCTTTGCATTGGGTTAGGTTTTAGTCTTAATTAATGCCCTCTAAGTATTCTAAATAGGGTTATCTCGGCCGAAAAACTACACTAAAAGCTTTATTAGTTCCTTATTATTATCTAACCTAGAGTTAATATATTAATAGAAGGTTGTTGCTGCATATTCTTATAATAAGATACTAAGGGAAAGAAAGTTATCTAGAATCTTTTACTAAATTTGCAGTAGGAAGATATATTAAAGACAAGCTCTGGTAAGCATGGTATTCTGCAGCTTCTCTTAAGAAGTCTGTAACATGTTCTTATGGCATATCTAGCCTAGAGTAGGAAGGTTATATAGAAGATATTAATAGACTAAGAAATAAGGCAGGTGTACTATTTATTGACCTAGGGAAGACCCCGGGGATACCTTCCTGACCTCTAATAGAGGGCTATAAAGATTAATTACCTTGCTTTTAATATACTTATTATCTATGGCATCAGGGAAATTATCTTATAATAGTTCTCTAGAGGTAAGTATTAGAGCAGCTTTAGTAAGCTTGCAGATAGTAAGGGGCCATAAGGCAAATACCGCCCAGCAAAGAAGAGCAAAGGCTTAATCTCTTTCCTCTTCTCCTAATTTGGCGATTTTGGTCTAATTATGGTTATATAGATAATTAAGGCTAGTTGGCATATTCTTAATAGTATATTAGAGTTATTTCTTATTTATCTCTCCCCTAAGATACTCCTCTTGTATCTTAAGCTAGAGGAATTAACCTTAATAATAATTAGATATTACCTCGGAAAGGGTCAGTTAGATATTATTACTCTTATTATAAAGCTTTTTATTAACGATAGCATAAGAATAGGTATTAATATCTAATTAAATATCTTTAACCATTACCTTATACTTATCAAAGGTTTCCCGCATACTATCCATAAGTATATCCTAGATAATAGGCTTATTATAACTAATAAGAAGGACTTATATCTCGGTTCTAGCAATAGATTCTATAATATTATAAAGAAACTTTGCGATTAAGGTATATTTATCGAGGCTATTAGCAATAAGAATATATCTAGGAATATCATAGAGGAGTTACTTAAAGAGGGTGATAATAGTTATACAAGTTGCCAAAAGGTCCACGTCAGAGATCTAACCCTGGCAGGCGTGTTTAAATATATTATTATTCTAAGATACAATTTGGAATATCTATGACCATAGGGCTAAGAAAGGGTCTTCTCGGCTTACATAATCTAAAGAAAAGAAGAAATAGGTAATAGGCGTACTTAGGGTAGAAGAAAGATGGTTAATGAGGTAGGCACTGAGAATTATCTTTCTAAACCCTGTATGCCTATTGACCTATAGGAGTTTTTGGTTTATAGATCCTCTGGCTAACTAGCGGCTAAATATAGTGCGGTTAAGAATCTAATTGCAGGTACCTAGGAGTTTTTTCTAAAGGGAGTTATAGTAGTGCTTATTAGGGGGGCAACTGCTAAGCCAGGCATGAACTTAACGGCGCGCTTTGGCTATATAGCATTAGTGTAAAGCTAATAAGTATAGATGCGGAATTACCTTACCTCTAACCTCCTCCTTAATTTGTTCTAAGATGCGATAGATCTTATTATACCATCCTTGGCTTAGATCAGCTCCTACTTTTAGTTAAATGTAGCCTGTCTTATAGCGCAATATAGCTCATACCTCGAGTAAGTATAACGTGGCCAGCGTCTGGATTTTGCGCTGGCCATCGGTTATTCCCCATACTCAGGGGCACCAGATTATATAGTTATTAGACCAGTTTTTCGAATATCTCAACTTGCTTTGTATGCTTTCCCTTACCCCATAACGCCCATGACATCTTATTCGTCTTCGACTCATGCATTATGTTGCGGGCCGTTGGTTGGCCCTGCTCTACTGAGTCCTTGTTATTAAAGATTATACCCTGAGCTTGACGGGGAGGTATATTGCTAGTATCGCAAATCGCCTCGATGATGATATGTATTAACTCGGCTATTGTATTGGAAATGGCTTTATTATCTAGAGCTGGTATAAAACTTCTAAGTTTAGTAAGTAATATAAATAGGGGTGTAGGATAATAATTTCCTAATATAGGCAAGCCGTGGCATAAAATACTAAATATTTATATAAATTTAACTTTATTATAGCCTAACGTGGTTAATAAGCATGCCGACTAGACAAGTATGCCGACTAAAAATCCCTTATCCTATATTATTTCTATCTGATTAGATACTTCTTAACTACCTATTATATTATAACCTTTAAATAAAGCTAGAATTCTTCTTGCCCTTTAGGCCCTTTAAAATAACCTAAAATTATATCTCTAATATACTACTACTATATATAAGGTTAGATATAATACCCTCTGTAACTAAAGGAATGGCATTTAATTATAATATAATTTTATCCTAAAATTGCAGAAACTATTTAATCTAAAGGAATAGATAATAGTCTAATTTATTCTTAACTTAGATTTATAAGGATTTCCCTTATAACTATATTTTATTAAAGAAATAGCTAATTCTCTATTTACTAATTGTAATATATTACCTATTAGTAAGCACTAGGCTTATAACTTTATAAAATAATAACTAGAGCTAAAGATATATTTATTTTAAAGATATAACTATTAGAGAGCTAAATATAAAGATTTAATTATTACTTATAATTAGTTTAGACTTATATAAAATATAATTATAAAGTATAATATCTAATTAAATAATATCTAGAACTTTAATAAGACTGGCTTTATAATAAGTATTATTATAGCCAGAATAGTTATTATAGGTTTTAAAAAGTAAGTAAGACTTAAATTAATATAGCCTAGAAACTAGGAATAAATTATTATAATTTAGGCAATTAATATAAAAGGTTAATTAATTATATTATTTATTATTAATATAGGCTAATATTATCTTATTAATTAGTACTAAGAATATAACCTCCTTAGTATTTAGGTTATTATAATAAGCTAAAATAAGTAAATAAATAATAAGCTAGGTCTTAAGTAGCTAAAGTACTTTAATTAATTTATAAGTAATTAATTAACTAGTCCTTATTATCTCCTAATCCTTAATAGTTATAAAAGCTACTACTTAGCTAATTTTAAGAGATATTATAAGAAGAATAAGATTATTATACTTTATATACCTACTTATATATCTTAATTACTTTAGCCTCTTAATATTAAATACTTTAGGCTGCTAAAATATACTTATAGTTAAAAAATAAAGTATCTAATTAAATACTTTATAACTTATATTTCTAAGATTAAGTTCTTCTTAGCCTTTTATATTACTTAGAAAGCTACTTTTATAGAAAGTAATATATAAGGGGGTTTTAAAGGAGCTAGAATTACTCCTCTTAACCTAAAAATTATAATCTTAAAGCTTAATATATAGCTATAGACCCTAATACCTCCTAGGGAGGCTACTTAACTATTAATACTATAGGCTTTAAAGACCCTAAGGATAGTAATTAAGGCCTAATTTTAATTTAAATACCTAGAAAGATAAATTAGAAGGTATTATAATAGCTCCCTAGAGTCTATTATTAAAGCTTTAAAGTTAGCTATTAAGGTAATAAAGGCAGTTATATATAAGGTTATATTATTAAGGGCTAAGCTTTATAATCTTTAAGATATAAATAAGATACTAAGTTAATACTAAAGGTTAAAAAAGACTAAACTATAGAAAGAAAGGATTATAACTATATAAGAAGTATTATAAGTAATTAATTAGATAGATATTAATATATAGGTAGTAGCCAAATTATTAAGAAGTAGTAGTTAAGGAAGGTTA